TTTTTTTTTTTAAGTTTATTATATAAATTACAGCCTACAAAGAAAATTGATTGCTGTATACGACGATGAAGTTTGAAGTGTATTAGATGAATATTTATAAAATTTATTTGATAAACAGATAACAACGGAAATGAAACCTGTGTGGTTGGAAAAAATTTTCTAATTCTTAGTATCCTTATAAAATGTCACCATTAGCAAGAAAAAAAAAAAACATCATTTTCAGTTACTTTTTTTTTTTTACTTATTTTTATTTTTTTTCTTTCTTTTTTGGCTTCTTTTAGATAGACTCATTCACAGGCTTCAGTATGGTTTTATTCAGATCCGATTTGTTATGATTTGCACACAAACACACACAGAAATAATCACGCCAAACCATTGACTATCCTAACCAACCACCTTCATTTGCAAATACACCCACCTATAGCCTTATAATTGTTGTTGTTGCAATGAAGACAAGAAAAACAAATTATCCAGGAAATAACCTAGCTAATAGTTTAGATTAAACTTTAGTTTAACCAAATGTTTAACGCTACTGTCTCTTTCTGAACACTAATTTTTGAGTCTTTTCCTCTACGCTATATCCAGCAGCTTTATTTGCAATTCTTACAGTAAAGAACACTTTTAATCTTTCAAATTACACAGCCATTTCAATAAACGCCGCCGCCACATATATCATATCTATGTTTTTTTTTTTCGTGGCATCTTTATTTTTTTTTTTTTACAATCTTTTTTTCTATTCAATTTACTTCGCAATAAAAACAGCTAAGGTTAGTTGGCAAACGTTTGAAGCATCACTGAGAATAAGCCATGTTTATTTGTATGTCTCTGTCTGTGTCTGCGTTTATGTAGGCATTTCTTTCAGTGAAGAGGTTATTCCGGAAAAGAAGAAAGTACTTTTCAGTTTTTGATGACATACTTGACGTGTTTCAATTTATTTTTTTAATTCCAAGAAAAAAATAGACAAAAAAGAAGCACATATATATTAAAAAAAAAAAAATGAACAAGCATATATGAAGATATGATATGAATTTGAAAAGAGAGAAAAAAAGTCAGGTTTTTATATTTAAAAGGTCAGCTGTTGTTTTCTTAATCTATGTATTTGCTTCATAAAGTTAGTAAATGCCAAAAAAAAAAAAGAAAAAAAGTATAATGTGATAAAGTAAACTAAAAAAACTATAGCAATTAGGTTACTGTTGCTGTTGCTGTTGCCATTTGGATAGTCATATAACTAAAAAAATGAACTTTTTGGTTGTCGTCGTCATCGTCGTCGTCTTTACTGTTGTTATTCATCTACTTTAAACGCTTTTTTTTTGTTATTGTTATATTCAAGAAATATAATCTTGAAAAAAAAGACGTTCTTTTTTTTTCGCCAAGTACCCAGTGAAACGTTTGTAAGTGAGTGGCAGAAGAGGCAAAAAAAAAAAAAGAAGAGAAAAAAGTTGATTAAAGTAAGTTGAAACCATTTTGAAGGCTTAACACACAAGCGGGCAAACACAGACACAGACGTACCCAGACATTTGACATGATGAAATACTGATATGAAAGACAAGAAAATGTGAAAGATTGGAGTAAAAAAACTGTTTAAAAAAAAAATTTGTTACGTTATAAAAAAAAAGAGTATTTATTATTTGAATAATAAAACACATAAATATATAGACGCACTCTCACACACACACACCGACACCGACACCGACACCGACACTCAGTCACAGATATACAGACACGAACACAGACACAAAGTACATAAAGAGAATGCTTTTATTAGGTTTATTTGCACCTAAAAGACAAATTTTTTGATTATAACAGTTTTATTTGATCTAATTGAACTATACTAAAAGATGGTTGTCAAAAGTTTATTTGTCCTCTTTTTGCGACTTCATTTTGGTTGTTGTTGTTGCTGTTGTTGTTTTTTTTTTTTTTGTCTTTGTCTTTTTTCTGATTAAATAATAAAATATGGGCAATTTATTGATAATTTTGGGTAGTTTTGTGTTCTACTATTGTTGACAACAAAAAAGTGGGATAAAAATAAAAACAACTATCGTCGGATAAGCAGTAGTTGCTGTTGTTGTTGCTGCTGCTGTAGCTGCTGTCGTCGTCATCTTTATTGTTGTTAAATCAAAAAACAAAAAAAGATTGTTGCTGTTATTGTGGTTGTTTTTTGGTCGTTTACAGCATTTTCTGTGCAAAATTGGCTTCTATTATATTTGTGTTGATATAGAAGGGTTGAACAATCAAATTGCTTTTATTCACCTTGAACAGATGAAGAAATTGCTGTGGCTAGCTTCTGTCTTGCTATTGAAACTTCTTTTCTAATTTTTTTTTTTCGATATGGTAAACCAATTCTAAATTCTTTCATATTCAATTTGCTTGTTCGGTTAGGCTTCCTAACATATTTACTTATACGTGTGTATGTTTTTTTCTTTCCTTTACTTCTTTTCTTTGCACTTTCTTTCCCAATCACAATTTTACTCCAAATATTTGCTTGCAAAAATAAAGATTTTTGTTTGCTTACCTTAACAAATTTTGGTGACACTAAAAACGACAGCAACATCGTCGAAGACGACAGTAAAAGCTGTAGATTACAGGATGACGACAGCTGCTTTGCTGCTGCTGTAACCGAAGAACTGGGAAAGTTAACAATTGCAGATCCCCTGTTGTCCGTGACTTCATTCTCGCTGTGTATCCGTTCTTCGCTAATCTTTTTTTTCGTAAAATATCACGCCCAATGAAATCTTCTTTATTGCACTTCAAAAATAAGCTTGAAAAGTTGCGAAAAAAAATTGAAGCATCGCTTTTGACAGTTTAAAACAAACTTCTTGAGTTTTTTTCGCAATTTTTTTCGTTTTAAAGGTTTTAGTTTTGGAGATAGCGGCAAAGCAGAAAAGAAAGTTTTTTCAAACAATTTACGCTTATTCAGGTTGTCCTGTTATTGTACGACTAGAAATTTGATGTGTGAAGTTAAAAAATTTTCAATAGAAAAGTGTCAAGTAACAAGGAAATAATTTTCACTTGCTTTTCGTTCATCTTTTTGTTTTTTTTTTCTTCTCTTTTTTTTACCGTTTTTTATTGATGACGTCTAAATCACTTGAAAGACTATTTTTTTAGAAACTTTGTTTTACTTAGTACTGTTTCTCATCAATCTCTCTCAGTTTTCAACTCAGCAATAGTCGACGACGTATCAGAAAATTTGATTTCTGCTAAAGCAGATCTATTTCAGAAAATTACTGAACAAAGCAACAACGAAAATAAAAAAAGAAAAAAAAGAGAAGAAAAATTGAACGAAAAAACCGAAAAAACTTGAAAAAAAAAGTATTAGTACGTTTACACCTGAGAAATTTTACAGCACTTTTCAGGTGATTGCTTTGTTGTTATAGTTTGTTGATCTTTCAATAGTGTTGTTCACTGATTAAAGCAGAATAAAGTTTTTTCCATCTTTACTTTTTTTTTCTTTTTTAATTCTCAGATATTTTTGAGAGACGCAAATTTTGCATTTATAAGCTGTCATTGTCGTCATATACGAAAGAGATAAACTACAGAAAAGATCATTATGCTGCTGCAAAACTTATCATTTTATAGTTCGATAATATCTTCCTGTTCTCTCAACTCTATCGTTATACCCTTAGAAATAAGAAAAAACCCATCTTTTTACCCTTTTTGCCGTTTACAGCTATTAAATGTTGAGTAGCTTACTTTTTTCACTTTTTTTTTTTTTTTTTATGCGGTTACCAGTGTTGTAGTATCTGTTGAACATATCATTTGCAATGCCCTGACAATAAAAGTTTTGATAAACAAGAATTTTGATCAGTAATCGTTTATTTATTTATTTTTTTTGTTTAAATATTTTAACTTCTGTATCATTTTTGCAGGTCACAATTGAAAAAATTTGTTGAAAAAAAGAAAAATAAGAAAAAAAACAACAAAAAATTAAGTGAATTAATTGCTTTTTCGCTGGTATCTGTTTGACCAGCAACAATAAGCAGTTTTTTCGTTATGCAAAATAATAATGTGACCGATAAAAGCTCTAAACGACCACTGCTAAAAAGCTTATCCTGGAAAAAGAAACATCCGGTTCGAACACGTTTGATTTCTAAGCATGGCTCATGTTTCATCCGACAAATCTATACAAAGGAGCACATTGTTTACAGGTATCACTGAGATCTTTCATATCGTTCAACCTTTTAACTTTGATGATTGCAAATTTGACCGACAGAATATCATATGTCTTGGTTGCATTTTTTTTCTGCGAAACTTTTGTGTGTAAAAAAATGCTTTTTAAATTTTTGCAATTCTAAAAATCACTCAGTCTATTGACTGTCTGTGATAAGTATTACTGGAAAACGAAAAAAAAGCCAAATGATTGTGCATTTATTTAAATACTACTGTATTTATTTCTTTACGTATACTGTAACAAAAAGTAAAAGATTTTTAGATAAAAAATATTGATGGACCATTTTTTTTTTGTCATTATCCTTCTGGTTTCGTTGGGAAAAAAATTACTTGGATTTTGTTATGAATTTTTAACTGAAAAATACCGGTCAATCTTAAGTTTTTGCAGAAATTGGTTTCATATTATTATTGAATATAGCTGGCGGCGTATTTTGCTGATCTTTGCGGGTGGCTTCTTAGTGAGCTGGTGTCTTTTTGGTATTCTCTACTACATTATTATCAAAACTACGGGTAATGAAGAGGTTCGGATTTCATCATTTGTATTTTTTTTTTCAGGTATAAACTAAGACATAAAAGTGAGAGTACTTTCTTTTTGGTTTTTTACGAACTTTAAAAGAAAAAGTAGGCAACTTTTGCAGTTAAAATTAGGTTTGCAACAGTAATAAAACGGTCTTCCTGTCTTTTTAATATAATACAAACAATAAATTTTTTTCAACATTACCTTTGAAATAATTCCAGTTTTTTTCAAACAGCACATAAGAGGTGTTGCTGATTAAAGATCAAATTTGCGAGTTTATTTTGTAAAAGCTAAAAGTGTTTCAGAGTTCCCTCACTCGTGATTGAAATGCGCAGATTGTCAAAAATTTTTGAGGGAAATACGCGCCATATAACATTGGCGTTTATTTGTAGGTGTAATTTTTGGCAACTTATCAGCACAAAAAAAATAAAGAAAAGTTGGTCATTTTAAAAACAAAAATTTTTAAACTATTTTTTAATTTTTCTTTTTTTTTGGTGTTTATTTGTTATTTAATTAATTTCAAAAAAGATTACTTTAAGTGTTTATTATTACAGTACTTTAGTTAAATGTTTGCACAGACTTCTTTAATTAAAGTTACCACTAAACACTTTCTTTAAAGTAAGTAATTTAAATTATCTAAGTTCAAGATAGGTATAATAAAAATTTTTTTTCTCAAGAAATTAAATTTGAAATTAAAAATAACGCGAAAAAAAATACAGAGAGTATTATCAAAAATTTTTTCTTTTTTATTTAAACTGCTAAAATGATTCTTGGTATGCATTCAAAAATTATCATTTAAATTGAAATCAACAATAATAAAACAAAAAATTTTTTTTGATTTTCAGTTGTTTTCAGCTTAATTTAATTTTTTTTTGGCTTTGCAACAATTTTTTTGATTTATGGTTGTACAAAACTCAGTTTACTGTTGGTAAAAATAATTGAAAAAAAATTTTACTGCTGCATACTGTAAGTGCACTTTTGTTAACCAAAGAAAGAAAGGAAAAGGTTATATAAACCGTAAAACAAAAGAGTTGTAATTTGGTATTTTGACAAGAATTTTTTTTTCTGGTTTTAACTGCTGTTTATGAACTATCAATATTTGGCCATATTTGGTGTAACCATTGATCAGTTTTTATTGGTTGACATTTCAAGGTTATCACATTTCAAATGTGCAGCGGTTACAGTAGTTTTTCGATATTTATTGACCGATTTAGTGTGTAGTGTCCTCATAAAAAAAAAAAAACTTATTAAACAATTATTATTATTTTTTTATATAATTTATCAATTGTTTTTCAAAATGTTTACCAAATTTTTTCTCGTTTTTTAACACTTTTTGAAAATACTATTAAGAAGTTCGTCTTAAAAAAACTGGCCAATGTTTGATCAGTAGTATCAGTAGTTACAAAGAAAAAAAATTTTATTCATATTTGATTAATCTCTTTTTCCTTTTGTTTTTTTTACAGTCTACGGATGATGAGAAGCGGTGTATAGCAAATGTTCATACATTCGGTGGAGCATTTTTGTTCAGGTCAGTATTATTGTGTTGATCGGTGGTTATCAAATAAACTTTCTAATTTTTATTATTCAATTTTTTTTTCTCTTTTATTTTTTTCAACTGTTCAATTACTATTCAATTTGTTTTCAGTTTGGAAAGTCAACATACTATTGGATATGGAATAAGG